AATGGCCCTGGGAGGGTGGGAAAGACTCACTGGTGAGGGTGAACATTTTTCCAGGCTGAGGCCATAGACAGCCTCAGAGACTCTCATGGTGGGGGTGGGGGTGGGGTGGGGAACGGAGGGCCTGAGGGTGGAGAGGCTTCCCGGGGGACTCACAATGTGGCTTAGAACTGGGAAGGGAATGTACCGAGAGCCAAGAGGGTGGAAAGCCAGCTTTAGGGCACTTACAGCACGCCCCTCTTCCCCCACCAAGCTAACGGCAGAACAAGAATTTGAACCCTCCACCAGCTGGAGACCAAAGGCCCAAATCAAGGGTCCTGGTAGAACACAGAGCATCCTCGGGAGCCAGACCGCAAGGCAAATACCGTTACTCCTGCAGGAGGGCGTGGCCCACGCACACGGAGCCGGTGGTCCCTCACAGCCCTCCTCTTGAGTTTCCGGGTCATCGCCATCCACCAGGAGACTACTACGTTCATTCTAATCAAGACTTGGAAGGGAAATGAGGTGGAACCCTCCTGGGAAGGACCCTACCTTGTCCTGCTTACCGTGGAGACTGCTGTTCGAGCTGCAGAACGAGGTTGGAGCCATCTCTCATGGGTTAAGGACAGACCAACAGCTTCTCCAGGTGGACACTTCCCCTTGGACGGGCTGTACCAGGATACAGCCCCTTGAAATCAATGCTGAAAATGGTGAGGCTGGGTTCGATTCGCTTGAGGGATCTGGAAAATTGCAGAGGGCTTACAGTGTGGGTTGGAGAGATGCGTACAATTCAGATCATGCCTATTACCCAGGTACGTTATTGGTTGCAGATAACTTGAATGACTTGGATATCTCAGCCTCTGGGCCAAAAGGTTGGCGAGGACTAGACTTAGGAATAGATGCCACAGGACAAGATCTCCTAGGCCAGTGTTTCCCAAACTTTTGACATATGTGTACCCCTTCTATAATTTTCGTAACGCTGAGTACCCCTCGTACTCACGAGAACATAGAATTAGGCGCAGCTAAGCACAGTGCAGCGCGCATATCCCCACCAAACTCCGGTGCAACGCGTACCCCCCACCAAACTCTTCCCGTGCCCCTGGGGGTCCGAGGACCACACTTTGGGAAACACTGGCCTAGGCCACTGCCACCACCGTGCAAATAGAAGTAGGCTATGAGGGAACGAATGCCTGGGTGGAATGGACTCAATGTCCTGTGCCCGCCTTACAGAAAAGCGACTGTTCGCTGGTGTGGCCGGAGAAAAACCAGAGGCCCAAGTGATCCCATGTTCGTTCGGATGGACCTCAGACAGTAACGGGATGGAATGGATGTGTGCTTGGCCCTTACCAGGAGGAAACCGCCTGGGGAAACGCTTCCTGCAAGACTCTCATCCTGTTGTTCCCATCCAAAAGAGGAAAGAGCAGGGATTCCCCCAAAGGATCTGTCCCCTGTCCTCTGACGTAAACTATACCTCCTGCCACTCCAGGGGGGGAACAGTTCTCAGAGTCTATGAGAAATTTACCCGGATGCGTAAATAGCCAAGTATCCTCGGAAACCAACCGTGCTGCCCTGCGGATACCCCCTGAGCAGACGCCTGGTGGTATTGTTGGGGACCATTGCTTACAGCCTTGCCCTGCAGTTGGAGCGGAACTTGCGCTCTGATACCATCGGCTACCCCTTTCCCTTTGGCATACCGTGAACCTCTTTCAAAGGACAGACAGACAGACCAGGAAGAGGAGAGAGAGTCCAAGGGGCTCCTTGGACCCTTATATGGGCACAGGTCCCATGGGGCACTATTCCTAAATCTAGTGCCAAATGAGTTTAAGGCTAGAAGTCAGATTGCTGCAGGATTTGAATCTGCCCTGTGCTGGCGGTCCACTGTGAAACAAGAACGTGGTGGGGCCGAAACCGGTTTGGCTCAGTGGATAGAGCAGCGGCCTGAGGACTGAAGGGTCCCAGGTTGAATTCTGGTCAAGGGCATGTACCTTGGTTGCGGGCACATCCCCAGTAGGGGGTGTGCAAGAGGCAGCTGATTGATGTTTCTCTCTCATCGATGTTTCTAGCTCTCTATCCCTCTCTCTTCCTCTCTGTAAAAAATCAATAAAATATATTTTTTAAAAAATAAAAAGAATGGTTGGATTCATTATATGTACTATCACTAGCAAAGGGTTGTTAACTATACTCAAGATGCAGTTAAAGGGATAGCAGAACCACGAGAGGCCACCAGCAGGATGACGTGGGGGAAGAGAATGGCCTCAGATAGGATTCTGGCAGAAAAGGAGGAGTTTGTGTCATGTTGAGGGGCCGACATTGTACTCTCATCCCTGACAACACAGCTCCGGATGGGACCGCTAAGGCCCTGCAGGGATTAACAACTCTAGCTGGTGCGTTAGCTGAGAACCTGGGAATCGAGGATCCTTTCTCCGATTTAGCAGTGGTTTGGAGAATGGAAGGGAATGACAGTCGTGGATGTTCTATATCATCCCATGTATGCGGGGGTCTTATCTGTAGTTAATGGAAACCGCATTGACCAAACAGCAAAGCCGTCTCCTTACAGATACCACAGAGCATGAAAGTCATGTTAACCGAGTTTGAAGAAAAGAGTTGAGTGAAAAGAGGGGCATTGTGAGAATGAACAAATCATCTTCTCTGTCAAAGAAGGGAGTTTAGGCAGCCTTCAGTTTGGCCCACGTGACTTGCAGCTCCCCTGGGGGGTCGCCATTTTCAAATGGCAAGGGTCAGCCCCTTCCTTTAAATTAGCCAATCTCGAAAGAGTGGGAGCCTAAGCTCTTCCAATCAAGAGTGAGGGACAGATCACGTGCTTCAGGAATAAAAGCCTGAGTAGCCGGCCCGCCTAGTCAGTGTGCTGTGCTCCCAGACCCTGTGCTGCACACCCTCCTGGGGAGTAACGATATTTGCCTTGCTGTGGGACCCCCCAATCTTGGGGGCTCACCTTATTTCTAACAGTTGAGAGAGGGCAACCCTTCGTGATCAATTTTGTGGAACTTGGAGAAATCCTTGCCGAGAAGTCTGAAGACAGCATCTCTCCAGACCTGTCCACACTGCCCCTTAATTGTTTTCTAAAATCCTTTTTATTGAATTATCAGAGCGTAATGGAAGAGTCGATGAGAGTCACTGCGAAGTTACAAGGCCAAGGCTTGCTGGGCGGAGGAAAACAAAGCCCTCACGGCTCCCTGGGCCGAGCGATGGTATAAAATATGTATTTTTTACATAACTGGGCAAAAAAAAATAAACGAACCAGGCCGCCCCACGGGGACAACGCCTCTTTCTGTATTTCCATTATCTTGTTTAATGCACAGTCCGGTCCAGCAGGAGCCTCAGCGGGCAGGGAGTACTGGAGCCTTTTCCCTCCTAGCCTCCTGGTAGGGTAAGAGGCAGCGAGAGCCCAGATGCAGGCATCCAAATGGCCTGGGCGTGTGCTCAGAAACCCATTAAAACGTCATTACAACGGAGGGGACGGACAGCTTGAGGGGGGCTGAGCTGACCCTCAACAGTCTTGCTTTGAGACATTGCTTCTCTTTTGAGGCTTTACCGTTAAGCTCTTCTGGGTGAACTATTGTGAACCCGGCCTTCCCCATGTGGAAGGGGGAAGGGGCCGGCCCTTTCCAGAAACAACCTCTGCACCGAACGTTTACGGAGCCCTTGCTGCGAGGGGGCCGACACTCTGCTGGGTGATTTTCTTGCATTATCTCCTACCAGCCCATCTGTAGAGATGAGAACACAGACTCGGCAAGGTCACACAGTGAGTGAGCAGCTGACTCCACACCTGTGTTGTGGTTCTGACCATGTTTGGAGAGTGAAGGGAATGATGGTGCTCTTGTCAAGGTAGCGAAACCACGCAGGTGCGGCTGGCCCCGGAATAACATTTGCATGTCTAGTCTTTTTTTTTTTTTTTAATATTTTATTGATTTTTTACGGAGAGGAAGGGAGAGGATAGAGAGTTAGAAACATCGATGAGAGAGAAACACCGATCAGCTGCCTCCTGCACATCCCCTACTGGGGATGTGCCTGCATCCAAGGTACATGCCCTTGACTGGAATGGAACCTGGGACCTTTCAGTCTGAAGACCGATGCTCTACCCACTGAGCAAACTGATTTCGGCTGCATGTCTATTCTTTTTGTGATGCTAAAATTATTTTATTGGGGGATAGAATTCTCTAGAGAAGGGTATGTGGCAATGGTGTGGGGTTAAGAGACCCGGCTTGGAGATCAGGAGATATCAGGTTCCAGCCTTGGCTTTGACATGGATTTGCTATGGGGCATTGAGAGTTAATTGCAAATAACAGGTTTGTGTGATCTCCGTTTTTTTTTGTTTTTTGTTTTTTGTTTTAAATACATTTTCATTCATTTCAGAGAGGAAGAGAGAGAGAGAGAGAGAGAAACAACAATGATTGATGGGCTGCCTCCTGCACGCCCCCCACTGGGGCCCAGCACCTACTGTTGCTGTTATCATCACTCGGAGCTATTACGGTGCAGGAAATATTGGTCTCTTGTTGTATGGCAACCTCACAACACAGGGAGGCGTTTGTGATTATGATTCCCATTTAGAAAGGAAAGAAGCTGAGGTGTGGGAAGGTGAACTGAGTTGCAGACAAGAGCCGGTGGAGACCTGCAGTTCAAAGGACAGAACCAGATGAAGAGGGAAGCCCAGGTGTCAGTGAGCCACCCACCGCGAAGCCGACTCCCAACTTGGTGGCAACAGGAATCCTACACCCAACCCTTCTCCCTCTGCCCTCCACAGTCCAGCGGGTCCCGGGTCCGTGCGAGGCAGGGGCCGGGGGCGGGGCCGGGGGCGGGCCGTCCTCCAGGGCCCCGCGGAGGAAGCTGGGGCCGCTCCGGCCGCTCATTGGCTGCGCGCGGCAGGTGCAGCCTCAGCCAATCAGCGGCTCGGGGGCGGAGCCTCACGGGCTCACCTGGCGGCTGCGGCGGCGCAGCCCCAACTCAGTGGCGCCCGGAGCCTCGGAGCACCTGCGAGTTCCTGGAAGTTCCGTCCGCCGCCCGCCCGGCCGACCCGACCCGACCCGAGCCTCCCCGGCCCGCCATGGGCCCTCCGTGCCGCCGCCTCCTCACGCCGCTGCTGCTGCTGCTGCTGCAGGTACGCGGGCCGGGCCCCCTGGCTCTCCCGGGACGCCTTCCGGGCCCTCCCCCGCGCCCCGGCCCCGGCCCCTCCGTCTCCCGCCGCCCCTCCCGCTCCCCATCGTCCCCGCCGCTCTCTCTTCTGACAAGAAACTTTGGGTCCGGAGGCCCGGGGCGGCCTGGACCCGGCGGGGCGGGAGCGGGTGAGACGGAGGGACCGGGGGCCGGGGCGCTCCTGGCCCCGCGGTGGGTGCGCCCCGGGGCGGGCGCTGGGGCTGGGGGCTCCGGGGATGGAGGCTCCGGGGTGGCGAGGGGCGCAGGGGGCGGGGCGTGCAGCCGAGTGGGGGTTGGAGAGTGAAAGGGGGAGCCCCTGGGCGGGTGCAGGGGAGCCGGGGGTCGTGGGGCGGCCCCCGAGGTGACGCCAGAGGAATCGATAGAAGTAAAGGCACCTGCGAGCTGCAGAAAGGGAGGTGCATGGGTCTGGGGGCGCCCCCGGGGGGAGAAAGGGGGTGGTCAGACGTGGTTAGGGCGCCCAGGGTCCGAGGAGCTGGACCCGGAATGGGGAGGAAAGGTGCCTCCGGGGAAACGGGGGACGGAAGGAGAGGGGTGCCGGGGGTGGGGAGGGTGAGGGAAGAGGTGACCAGCAGCCCCTCTCCTGGGCGGGCGTCCCCGGGGGCCGCGCCGGGTCCCTCCCACCAGCCCGACGCCGCGGGCCAGGGAGGGGGTGGCGCTGCGGGGTTTCGGTGTAGGCTGGAGGGGGTCCCCGAAAGTCACCCCGGTCCCATCCTTTCCGCCCACCCCCAGGTCTCCTCGCGGCTCTGCCAGGAGCCCGAGCCCTGTCGTCCCGGCTTCGGCGCCGAGAGCTACACGTTCGCGGTGCCGCGGCGGCACCTGGAGAGAGGCCGCGTGCTGGGCAGAGGTGAGCGGGCCCGCGGCTGGCGGGGGGCGTGGGGAGGGCCCGAGACTTTGCACCCCAAGTTCAGGGGCTACACTGGGCAGGCCCCTTCTTCCTGGGCGCAGAGGACACGCCTTTGGAATTTGCACAAATGTGGGGGGGGGGGGTTGTCTAAGCTTCGGTGTCATGGAGCACGGTGTTTTTTGGGGGGCTATTCTGGGGGGGGGGTGAGTTATGTTGCAAGGAGGGGCACTAGTTAGAGGCCTCCCGTGTGCCTCCTCTGGTCCCGACCCCTTTAGAGACAGCCTGTCATTTCCTACCGCAAATACCTAATAGTGGGAAGGGCGGGAGGGAAGTGGGAGTGCCCGGTGGATGAGCCAGGGAAGGCTCAGCGGGCGGGTCCGCTTGCCCCGGGGTCGCCCCGTGGGAATGGGGACTCAGCGCCTGGCTCCCAGGCCCCGTTCCGCACCGTCTCATGTGGCTGGGGAGCCCTCTCGGTGGTTAAGCTGTGGCTGGTGCTCACAGAAGTGAAAGCATTTGGATACAGGTGCTATTTCCCCCCCCCCCCCACACCCCCCAGGAGTAACGCCTTTTTCTTTTTTCTTTTCTGGGGCTTTATCATCGCTGAGATAATCAGAATGCTAGAGTTTGCTTTGTTTCATTCCACTGTTGCCCTGGGGCGAAAACAGGGGAAGGCTGGTTTCTCTTCTGGTTTCACCGATTCCCTGATGCTTTTTTCTTTCTTTCTTTCTTTTCCAAACTACTTTCTCCTCCCGCTGGATTTTAGTTGATTGGGCGAGTTATCATAACAATAAAACACACACACACACACACAAAACACTTTTTGAAACCAGGAATCACCCACAATCCCCGGAGGGAATTCATTGCTTATTCTTCTAATCTCTGGCCACGTGAAATGTCTACAGCTATCACCCTGTTGTTTGGGGGAAAAAATTTTTTTTTGAACTTTGGAATTTGTTCTGATAGTGGGTGGGCATTTTTTACACCACCCCCCCTCGCGCAGAGAAACTGAAGCTTGATTGATTAAAATGTGTTTGCTTTTCTGAGGCCTGTGTGTGTGTGTGTGTGTGTGTGTGTGTGTGTGGTGTGTGGCGCATTCCATGGGGTCAGGCCGGAAGTGTTTGCCCGGTTTTTGCCCTGGGTCCGTCTTACTTGGCCGGTCCCTGCTTTGGTGTGCTGCCCCACCCTGTTCTGGGCACCTGGGAACGAACTGAGATAGAGGGATAGCCTAGCCCTGCCCTCCACACTGCCTGTCCCAGCATGCTGCTAAGAATGTCCCAGAACCCACGTAGAGGGCACTGGTGCCCGGAATGTTTGATGGGTATCAGTGGGCAGGGAGGCTTGGCTTCTGGAAGGGGTCAGCATTGACCCAGCCTTGAAGAAAGGCTCAGGGATTAGGAACAGCTGTGTGTGTGTGTGCAGGTGTGTGGGGGGGTGTCTCAACACAAGTGTTGGTCACTGTGTTTTCCTGAATCAAGACATCTGGTAGCGCCAAGGGTGGGATTCGTTTTTATCCCTCTTGTGTTTGACCAATAATACTATTATTACGGTCCTAGCCGGTTTGGCTCCGTGGATAGAGAGTCAGCCTGCGGACTAAAGGGTCCCAGGTTCAAATCCCGTCAAGGGCATGTGCCTTGGTTTCAGGCATATTCCCCTAGTAGGCAGATGATCGATGTTTCTAACTCTTATCCCTCTCCCTTCCTCACTGTAAAAAAATCAATAAAATGTATATTAAAAATACTATTATTATGTGTTAATAATAATTATTAATAACAACGCCTGTTAGTTGCTTTTAACTGGACGGTGGGGCAAGTGCTTCGCATATTTCACCTCATTTAGTCTTGCCAAGAGCCTTATGAGGGTGGGCACCATGGCTCTTCCTATTTGGCTGATGAGAAAACGGAAGCGAAAAGCAATTTAGTTGTCCATTCAAGGTTTCCCAGCTGGTCTTTCTCCTGCTCTCCCCTTCTCTTCTCTGTAATCTCAACAAGGAAAGAGGGTGCTCGGGGAGTTAGTGTCCACTGTGAAGTGGACTTCCTCCTCCCTGTATGCTTGGAAGAGCGGAGGTGTTGACAGGCCGGCCCTAGAGGAGGTGGTGGTGATGGAGACAGCTCAGCCCCGTGGGAGGGGTCAGACCGGGTGGGAGGCGGAGGGGCCTGCTGCTGGTGGTCTCGCTAGGCCAGGCGGTCTCCCTCAGCTGCTTGTATGGCTGGTTCCAGGTCCCTTTGCGTCCTCATACCCGTACCCACTCAACAGGTTTCTTGACATTTCATTTTGGGGGTGCTTTTTGGACTAGGGGGTCCCTTCCTATCAATCCAGTGTGGAATCACCCCCGGACAGAAGTGCCCTTGAGATAAAGCACACACGGGACCTCAGGGAACTGGCGCGCGCGCGCGCGCGTGTGTGTGTGTGTGTGTGTGTGTGTGTGTGTGTGTGTGGTGGTAGTGTTGGTGTGTGTGTGTGTGTGTGTGTGTGGTGTGTGTGTGTGTGTGTGTGTGTGTGTGTGTGTGTGTGTGTGTAATGGGATTACAGTAATGGGGTTTAGGGAGGTGGCCTCACTCTCTTAGGACAGTGTAGAAAATGGAGGGATGCCACGTTACCACCAGGCTTAAACATTGGCCCCAGGGAGCATTTGCATACGATCTTGAGGTTCCATGGACATCCCTCACCCCAGTCTGTCTGCAGACACCAGGTTAGAACCCTGGGTGGGGTTTCATGGCTCCTGCGTTTTAATTCTTTGAAAGCAGCACACTGCAGAGCCCATCGGCTCCGTGGAGAATTGACTGTGTGGGGGTTTACAAACTGGAACCTGTCACTTTTGTCCACCCGTGACCATAGAGGGTCCCAAGGAGGATTTGGCTAAACGTGGGGAGGGGGGCCTTTGGGACATTTTTGTGCCCCAAGAGATCCTTGTGTTTGTTCTATTGGTTTCTCTCCAGGTTCTAGAATGGAGAACGTTTTAAAAACAAAAACCAACCCCCCCCAAACACACACACACGCACAACCCCAGCTGTAAATGGGTTCTTTACTTTCTGACTATCTTCCCTTTTCTGAGCACAAACTGGTTTTCAGATCTCACTCCGCTCTAAGTTGACTGGAGGTCGGGGGAGGAAAACCCCTGGTTTCCTTGCTTTGCTTCCCCTGCCACCTGGCCGTGGGCAAACAAGGCCTGTGTTTTGGGTCTGAGCGCTGGCTGCGTGATGGATTGACCTCGCTCCCAGGCCCCCACCTGTGTGGATTAAGTACACCCATTTCCTCTCCTTCCTGAAAGATGTGCTGAAAGGTGGTGGGAACCTTATGCTGGCCCCCTAATTAAATGGGCTTTAAAACACACACACACACACACACACACACACACACAGAAACCTGCTTTGGAATGATCTGACATCATCAGATCCCCACTCCCCCACCCCTCACCCTCCTAACCACCACTTCCCAGAGTCCTCACATTTGTGACAGGGGAGGAGACTAATGGCTCCTGCTCCTGTCCTTGCCTTTGCGTCTCCCTAGGAGCCGAGGCCCGGGGTCCTGGGCCCTGCAAGGCCATGTAAGGAAGGCTGGCTGCCTGCTCTTGCCCTCCCTCTCTGCCAGGTGGTTATGGAAATCCCTGTTTGCTCTCCGGGGCTTTTTATGGAGCCAGCCTTTTCTTCCGAAACGCTCACCTGGGTGTCTGTTACGCATCCCCTTCCAAGCATAGCCCCAGATAAGCCAGACGCTGAAGCAATCAGCTCTCCCATCTCCCAGAAGCTGCCAAAACCCGAACGTCGCCGGAACAATCCAGACTTCTGGGTTTCCACTCTGCCTCAACTTCCATCTCCTCTCCCGGCTCGGGGCTTTCAGGGAGATGAATGAGATCAGTACGGCCGGGCAGGGTGGCGGTGTGAGTACCTGAAAGGTCCGGGTTTGAATTTCAGCTGTTAGCTGTGTGACCTTGGGTAGTAAATCCATTTACTCCGGTGAGCCTCAGTTTCCCTATATGTAACACGGGAGGCCAGCAATACAGGTTTGCCGTGAGAATTCAACGTTCGTATTCACTCAGTGGTTGAGTCAACCCATGACTCTTGGGTGCCAGCGCTGGGCTAGGCCCTGGGTTTACAGTAATGAATAAAGCAGGTGTGGGCTGAACATAAAGGCAAGTGGGACAAATGTAAAGAGATAAGGGGGTGGGGGGAAGAGATGAGGAGTCGTGAAATGGTGGCTCATGTTTCTTAGGGACGGAGTAGGCAGTCAAACAATATTTTGAATAAATGATTAAAGGAGTGAATAAATATTGACTTCTCTTCGGGCCAACCCTAGCCGGCAATTGTAAATGGGCAGGGGAGAGTTGGGAGAGTTGGGGCCGTGGCTCTCGAAGCTTTGCGATAAGTGTGTCCCCGGGATACAGTGGACTGAGTGCTTCCCTCTGAAAGCTCTGGAGGGCAGAGAAAGGAGACCTCGGTTTCGGAAATGGAAGGGCAGTTCGTCATCTTTAAGTGTTTTTCATCGTTGGTCAATTAAAAAAAAAAAGAGGTGGCGGCCTTTCTCCCTCGCTCTAATTTGTTTCCCATTTGTAAAGCTCAGCTGATGCTTGGCAGGGCTTTCGGTCCCTCCTCTTTCCGCACTTTTCCCTTTCCTTCTTCTCAAACTACCTCCAGCCCTCCTCTTCCCCGCTGCCGGCACCTTCCCAGCATTTAGAGGGTCCTTGAGTCAGACTGCCTAGATTGCAATCCGGGGAAAATGCCCCTTGCCAGCCGAGGGACATGGGACAAGGACGTTCTCAGCCTCTGTTTTCCCATCTGTGAAATGGGCAGAACAGTATCCCAAGCCATAGGGCGTGTCAAGCCTTGATATCAAGCCTTAATATCAAGGCTTGCTGCATATTAAGTAATAAAGCCCCCAGAGAATTTAGGGCTTTCTGTTTGAGACACTCCCTCCCGTGTTTTACCTTCAGTTCAAACCTCTCTCTCCCTGGGCTCCCTCCTGCCCAGCAAACCAGCCAAACCAGTTTCCTCAGAGCCTCTCTC